GAGCGGCTCGGACAAGGGCCGGGCGGGCGCCCTCAGGCTGGGGCCTGGGCTGCGGGGCCCCCTCGTCTGCGAAGCCAGCCCCTTCAGCAGGAGCCTGCGCTGCCAAGGTAGGCCTGGTGGGGGCGCTGGGCTCGGGGGAGCGGAACCTGTGGCACAGCCTGCGAGGGTCCTTCCTGGCCTCACGGAGCTTCTGCGGGAGCAGCCTGGGTCCCGTCAGGGGCTCCCCAAGGCCCGGCCTCACCGGCCTTCTCAGCCCCCCATGGGGTACCTACCGCCTTTCTCACCTCTTATCTGGGCTTGTCAATTGCAGTGTAGTTTGGGCTCCAGGGTTTTCCCTAAAATATGGTCCCGCATGTCTGTGCATCCTCTGTGGCGGGCTGTGTCTTTTCTCTATGTTGTCTTGTTCCACCTCGCTGCAACCCCAGGGGTAGGCTTCCCTTGGCCTGTTTCTTAGATGGGGAGGATTAAGGCACAGAATGTCGGGGTCCCACAGCACAAAAGCCCTTTAGGGTGGACGGGTGGCTTCGTTGGGCGGCAGTTTGCAGACAGGTGTCAATACAGGAATGTGGGACCTGTGGCCCCAGGCGCCTCCACTCGAGGCCCCATTCCTCGCAGACTCACCAGTGGGCTGACTGTGACTTGGTGGGAATCCAGGCTGCAAGGTGACCCAGTGACTGGTAGGGGTTTTTACCATGCACGTTAACGGGCCCCTCATTTGCCACCTCTGCCGTGGCTGGAGGGCTCCATGTCATGCTCAAGTACAAGGCATGTGGACCGATAGTGAGGAACTTATTTTTAGGGGCCGACTAGGAAGATTCAGATTATTCAGGTTTTGTGCTGACGGCTGGCTGTACGACAGAGAGAGATGGCGCCCTGCTTCCGTGTGGGTTTTAGGTGTTGTTTATCATGCAGCTGCCCAGGCACAACAAATTATCCTTCTTCTAGCCCCCAGGCCGAGTTCTTCTTAGCACGAAGGGCTTTTGTGGGCATTTTTCTTGTTGCAAAAGTGACACCTGATCATTTCAGGAAATCTGGTGACGTTATGCCCATATTCGGGGACCTAACTGCTTTTAAGTAGATGGAACGTGTCTGGAAGGACACAGATGGACCCTGGTTGCTGAGGGAGAGTTGCCACCTGTGGTTTTGTCTTCCAGACCTTCCTTGCACAAACCCACACACACACACACACACACAAGCCTGACCCATGGGAGGCGCAACCTTAACACGACAAGATCACGTTGTATCTGTAACCTGCTGTTTTTACCTAATTAGCATAAATCTGTATCTACATCAGCAAGTGTATTTTTTGAACTTTTATTGACCGTGAGGTAGAGACTCCACTCTACAGATAGCCTGTAATTTTAATGGATCCCTTCTGGCTGGGTCTGTGCATTTTCACTCTGTCTTGCATCGCTGAGCATGTTTTGCCAGAATTGGGAGGTCAGAGCGCCAGGACTGCACGTGGCCGCAGCGGCTCCCTGCGACTTGGACCCACACTCTGCGACGTCTGTTTGTTCACAGGACATGGGTCTTTCCTGGAAGGGTGGGGTAAATGGGCTGGGACTCTGGCTCCCTAGCCCTTGAGGCCCCTGGTGCACGGCAGGGGCCCGAGAACGCTGGAGTGTGGAACGGACCTGGTTTCCGCACTGTCCCTGCCGTGACAGCTCCCTGCTCAGTGTGGCCGCTCGCCTCTCTGCGTGGGCCGTGGCTCTAGGCACCACAGGTGCAGTCTTGCAGATCTGGGGATGCCCCGTGGCTGTTCTAAATGATGTGCCTTGTCTGATACAGACTAAGGGTCATCTCTCTAAACTTAAGTCTGGGCTGGTGTGATGGAGGCGGAAGGATGTTGAGAGGAAGGGGAGGGCCAAGGGACATGTGGGTCATGTGCCCCAAACACCCACTCGTCGCAGCCCCAGCAGCTCCGTGAGGCAGGGTGCGGCCTGTGCCCGCCGCCTTCTTCAGTCCTCGACAGTAAACCTCTCGTTTTCCCCTGATGTTCTTGGTAGGAAAAAACACCCCGGAGCGCTCAGGGTTACCGAAGGGCTGTCTTCTGTACAAAACCCTCCAGGTGCAGATGTTGGACTTGCTGGACATCGAAGGCCTCTACCCTCTGTATCGGCGGGTTGAGCGGTACCTGGAGGAGTTTCCTGAGGAGAGGTGAGGACCAGGGCCCCTTTCAGGGCCCGCGACAGCCCTGAGGGCAAGATGGAGATGGGGCAGTGGGTCGCCCCAGTGGGAGGCTAGCACAGGCCCCGTACGAGGATGGCTCACCTTGGCCACCCCCTCTCCCTGCCCCCAGACGCCAGGCCCAGCCCAGAGGCTCAGTCCCTGTGAAGGAGGACCCGGGTCCTATCAGATCAGTGGTCACTCGGCCGCTTCTAGGCGGGAAGGCACGTCCTGGGAAGGGACGGGACAGTCCCACAGCAGGCCGTCCCGAGTCCTGAGCCGGGCTCAGCCTGCAGGGGGCAGTGCTGCTCCGCGGCCAGCCAGCTGCTCCCGCCCAGCCCCGGGCTCTGAGTCAGCCCGGCTCCTTCAAGCCCCCCCGGCCGACTCGGTGTGGGTTGCGGGGGTCCACGCCTGTGGCATGTGTTGGGGCTGGGGCCCTTGCCCCGGCCTGGCTCTATTTCCTCCCCACCTCCCCTTCACCAGCATCTCTGATCTGGACGCCATTTGCCGTAAACAAGAGACATTCAGCCTTGGCCCTCCTAGTCTTACAAATTCTGTTTAAAACCTTGATGCTTCTGAAAGAGTTTAGCATTAGGAAGAGATGGATCCACTAATGTTCTTTAGAACCAGATGTGTGATTCTTAAACTGTTAAGAATTTAACAAACAATTTCCAGGCCGCTTTGTCATCCTGTTTTTTCTGTGTGTTTTTTTCCTTCAGAAAAACATTGCAAATAGACGGGCCTTATGACGAAGCATTTTACCAGAGGCTGCTGGATCTTTCCACTGAGGACGATGGCACAGTGGCCTTTGCACTGACAAAGGTGGGTAGACCCTTCCAGAAACACACTGTGTGCTCCTCAGGCTCTTAACACTCACTTGGGGTTTTCCCGAGAAGTGTTTCTCTGTACCTCCCCTGATGGTTAAAGCAGAAAAATTGGGAATTGAAAAAAAAATGCAGCTGAAGTGTCCCAGACAGGCTGGGCCAGGTGATGGTACGTTACTTTAGTTCTGGGGAGGCTGTCCCCCGGCTCAGCTGGCTGCAGCCCACCCTGAGGTCCCCGCACCGAGGTCCGGGACCTGCGGCCACTGCTCTGTGCTTCCCTCCCAGCCGCCCCCTTACCGCCCTCGCCGGGCCCCCCCGAGGCCGCGTGCGGCTGGCTTCCCTCCTCCCCCGAGCTCGGGCCAGGGCGCGGCCCGGGAGGGTCTCTCAGGGACGAGGCCCGAGCCTGGGCCATCCGGGTCTGTGAAATCGGGGAGTTCGGGGGCTCCATGCACCTGGATAGGGGAAGAATGACGTCTTTGTTTTCACTAACCTCTGATCGAAACTTAGTGTTTCCTTCCGCCACGAATGTGGCAGCAACTGCTGTGGGGTCAGTAGAACCCCAGACTTTGCCATTAAGAGAAATCAGACCCTTTCATTTCACACTGTAGGCGCTACAGACATCTCATGATAGCTTTCTGTTCATGGCTCCTGAGGTTCTGTTACGTAGTAAGGCAAAAACATTCACTTTAAACAATATTTTGGTATTTGATACGACCACTCTTCTTTTTCTTTTCTGAATTTCAAAACGTTATCGTGAGAGGGACCCAGAGGCTTCCCTGGGCTGGCAGAGGTTTTGCCAGATCCTAAAACGGTTACGGAACACTGCTCTGGTGAGAGCCAAGTGACAAAAGGCGGGCACAAGCCGAGTGGCCTGCTCCTCCGTGCCCCCTGGGCAGCTGCCCTGGGCGTCTGGCCCAGCTGTCCCGGTGCTGACCGCGCGCCTGTGGTTCTCCACTTGGGGAAGGCCCTCCCTGCTGTCCGTGGCCGAGGCTTGGCCGCTCTTCCGCAGGTGCTGGGTGGCTGAGGAGGTCCCCCCTGAAGCTCAGGGCCCCGAGGGAAGTAGCTGCGGTGCTTGGGGCAGAGCTGGCCTCCAGGTGGGGAGAGATCCCGAAGGGGGCCTCTGTGTCAGAGTAAAGCAACAGGCTGTCCTTCCGTCGTCTGCAGCCTGGTACACAGATTTAGGAATAAGTATCTGTGGTCTGTCTGTCTTCAAAAGAAGAAACAAGACTTCCTTCTTTTCCCCCCTGCATCTCTGTATTTTTTAAAATTCCTAATATATAGGCGTGGATTATTTTTTAATTTTATTGCAGTTTTTTAGCCTCGTGTATGAACATAATCTTGTGAGAGATTTAAGCAGCCGTGACGTAACTATCAGAATGACTGTAATGAGAACACTGAGGCAACACTGAATGCCGGTGCAGAGAAACCAGATGTGCAGAACTTAACGGGCACTCGCCCTGTGTAACGCAGCACCTGCACTCCTGGGCGTGTGTCACAGCGGAGGGAAGACGTAACACTCATCCAGAGCCCTGTACAGGAGTATTTGTAAATAAAGTCATTTATTTTAAAAAAAAAGCCTTCTTTGTAATAGCCAGCAGGCGGCCCACAGCAGGTTGCGTAAACCAGAGCCTCTGAGCAGTCACGAGGAGCGAGCTCTGGACGCATCTCCAGAGAAACGTGCTGAGTGACAAAAGCCAGTCCCAGACGGGCACACATGATCATTCTTGAACAGACAAAGATGAGTGGCTGCTGTGGGTTGGAGAGGAGGTGGAAGGAAGGTGGGTGTGGCTGTAAAAGCAACGAAAGGGATCTTGTGGCGAAATTGCTCCTTTACCTGTATTTATATGTTTAACTGGATTTGACTGTGGTGGTAGATGTGGGAAGCTATGTGTGTGATAAAGTACACACACACACACACACACACACACGAGTACACGTAAGACTTGGTTGGGAGGTGGGGATGAAATCAGCACTGTGGGGCTGTGATGTTGTGCTATATAGCTTTGCAAGGCGTCACCATTGGGGGAGACGGGGTAAGGCATACTCAGGAGGTACGTTTTTATCTCGAAACAATTAAATAACAAAGATTCAAGCAGTGAGTGTACAATATACAATATGACACTGTTCCTGCCCAAGCAGCAGACATCGACTGTTAACAGTACGTGTCTTTTCAGAATCTCACGTTAACACACACACACTCACTCATACCGTTTGGCGGGTTGTCCACACTCTGTATGCTGTTCATCAGATGGCATTTTACATGGCTTGAGGTCTGTCTGTGTTGGAATATAAGCGTCTGCCTCTTTTTCTGTTGTTTTATAGTTAAGTTCTGTTAGTTGGAATCTGAAGGGGATGGTTGTGAACGTTGAAACTGGGGAGCAGGTTGAGAACATTTTCTGGGCCGCAGACTCTAAAAAGTTCTTTCATGACGACTGTGTATCTAATTGAACTTTGGACCTCTGATGAAATGAGAGAGGAGAGGATACTGGATTCATTTTGAAGCTCAGGAAACTGCAGCCCAGAGTAACTCTTGCTTTTTGACGACTGTATAGTGTTCTACAGCAGGAGTCAGCACACTTTTTCTATAAAGGGCCGGACAGTAAATGCTTTGGGTTTGGTAAGCCGTCCATCTCTGCTGTAGCTATTCAGCTCTGCCATTAGAACTCAGAAGCAGCCCTAGACAAACAGAAGGGAGCATGGCTGTGTTCCAGCAAAGCTTTAGTTATAGAAATAGGTGGTGGGCTGGATTTGGCCCTGGCCTGTGGTTTGCTGACCTCTGTTCACTTTTGCTTGTTAGTTTTTATATTGCATTGTTTGCTTGGTTGGTTTGGAAGTTAGATATTCTGCTATATCATTTTTGTGGTTACTTGTCCAGTTTGACCTTGCATATTTAAACACTAAAGTTAATAATTTGACCCCTACTCCCACCCCAGCCCCCGCTGCACAAATACACAATGTAGGAAATTGGGACACTTTGATTCCAGTAATCTCTCCCACCTTATATGCAGTTATTGGCTGTTACTCTGTTTGTCTTGTTCTTTTTTAAAAATCCACAACTTACAGTATTATTTTATACAGGTGTTTGTTTAGGTCAATCACATTTACCTTTATCTTTGCTAAACATTCTTACATCTCAGATCCTTCCTCTTTTCCCTTTTTTTTCTGTAACTTACATATCATACAATTGATATAATTTACAAACTGTACAATTTACCTGCCTATAGTGTGCAACTTAGTGATTTTTACTCTATTCACAGGTATGTGTCATCATCATCACAGTCAGTTTTAGAACATTTTCATCCCCTTAAAAAAAATCCTATACCCTTAGGCTGTCGTCTCCTTATCTCCTCGTCCTCACCATCTGTAACCACTAATCTACTTTCTGTCTCTGTAGATTTGCCTACTCCAGACATTGCATATGAATGGAATCATTTAATAGGTGGTCCTTTATGACTGGCTTCTTGCCCGTCAGCATATTTCCAAGGTTCATGTGTCTTGTAGCAGGTATCAACACTTCATTACTTTTACTGGCTGAATAATATTCCATTGTTTAGATACACTACATTTTGTTTATCCATTCATCAGTTTGATGAGCATTTGGGTTGTTTCCACCTTTTGGCTATTATGTATGAGGTTGCTATAAACATTTGTGTCTAAATTTTTGTGTGGACATGTTTTTACTTTTCTTGCGTGTGGAGTTGCTGGGTCAAATGGTAACTCATGTTTAACCTTTTCAGGAACTGCCAGACTGTTCTCCAAAGTGGCTCTACCATTTTACATTCCCACCAGCAGTTGTACAGGGTCCCAGTTTCTCCATATCTTTGACAACACTTGTTACCTGGCCTTTTTAGCCATCCTGGCGGGTATGAAATGGTATCTCATCGTAGTCTTGATTTGCACTTCCCTGAAGACTAAGAGCATTTTCTCATGTGCCTGCAGCCCACTGGCTTATTTTCTTTGGAGGAATGTTTATTCAGATCCTTTGCTCACTTTTTAATTATGTTATTTATCTCATTGTTGAGTTGTAAGAATTCTGTATATTGTGGATAGTATAGGCCCTCATCAGATATATGATTTGCAAGTATTTTCTTTCATTCTGTCAGAGATCTTTTTCAGTTTTCTGATAATGTGCTTTGATGCAGAATGTTCACAATTTAAAAATTTTATTTATTTGTTTGAAACACGGTTGATTAGGTTCAGGTGCACTGCACAGTGATTTGACATTTGCACACATTGTGATATGATCACCGTAAGTCTAGTAACGATCTGTTCCTATACAAAAAAAAGGTTTTTGTTTTGACAAGGTCCAGTTTA